TCTCAGAACCAAATTCGGCGGGTTCGATCGGCGCCAAGACACTCGTGGATTACCTTTCGCCAGACGATCGGGACTTTTAAAATCACCGCCTTGGACTCACGCCACGGCTCCCTTCCGAGGCGCACTTTATACTTATCGACTCCCTACGAGGTGAGCTACTCGGCTTCGTGGTCGGTCTCCGCACCCGCCAACTAAGAGAGAGGCATGCGTTCAACATGAACAGAAAGGCTCCAAGAATGGGTCCTGTTTATTACACAGACGGAGTCACCGCAAACCGGCAAGCCTCCGTCCGGTCTTCATTTCAAATTAAGATCTGGTTCTTTTCCACGATAGCAAATATAGCCAACCGTGCCACATGTATCATCCTATATCTCTGGTGTGAGAAAATCACCCGACTTCTACACGCGTTTAAGGAGCTAAGCACTACTCGAGCCCGAGCTACATAGGATTGTGGTAACAATATATGGACAAGGAATGGGTAACAAATGCAAAGCAAGTGTTTGCATCCAACACCTAAACTTAATGCAACAATATATATATGTAATAATAATATCAGAATCGTTGCATTTCGGAAATTAGGAGGCTTAATATGCTCCGGGGCTTGCCTTTCACAAAGTTGCAAGGACGGTGGTCAGGGCACTCAACGGCGCGACCTCGTCGGCACTTCTCCTGAAGGTCGCTCCTCCCGAATCTCCGCCAAAATTATTGCCTTCTTTTTCACGGTTCCTCAATTCCAAGCATGGTTACTCCTTCCAGTACACCTATTGCATGCCGATGCACAAGATAAATATCATGGATGCATAAGGAATGACATGATGCTCATGATGAATGAATCACAATGGGTGTTTATGAAAACATCACTGGACACACTGCGTTTTATCGAGTAATTAGCTCTATTCAAATCACTTTAAGCATGTATCCAACTTAACTTAAATAACAAGAGCAACTTACCTAGCTTGCATAACCTAAGATAAAGATGCTCATCTTCAGTTAAAGGCATAACACCTAGGAACAGTACCATGAACTTAGAATAGTAAAGACATACTTAAAATAACAGTTAAAGCTTCATATGCAACAAGTAGTAACTTAATTCTATCATAACCAGAGTTTTATAATTTCAAATGACTTGCAAGAGGACATTCTGGAAAGCTTATGAAATTCTCTACAATTCACTTGTAAACATCAAAGCATGATTCTGAAGTTAACCAAATCAAATTCCAGTAGACCTAGAATCTGTCCAGAATGACGGGGTTGCTAACTTAATTATTTAATGATGGTGCAAAAGCCTAATTTGACCAAACCAAGTTTACCAACTTGTTTTTCATATCTAAGAAACATCAGAAAGTATAGTGCTAACTTCTAAATAAATTATTTAATATCCTTTTTCCAATTTATTTAGTTAATTAGGTGATTTAAACAATATATAGTAAAACTATTCATAAAAATCTACAAAAATTACAGTAGCTATCTCATGCTGCACATAGACTACCATAAAAATTTCAAAGCCATTGGACCAACATAACTTGCTGTATCCAAAATAACAGATGACATGTCTATTTCTAGCATAATTAGGAAACCTTATTAAAAAGTGTCAAGCAACAGATTTCCCATTTTTTCTAGCATCCTTCTAACATAAGAATAGCACCCATAAAATTTCACCTTCACTGGATCTATAGAAAAATTATGAAAATTCACACAAGATCCACCTATTAATAAAAGGAAATTCTATAACTTAAAAACTACACATGCACTAGCTCTGAAATTTTTACCAGAGCTTCTAATAAACCAAAATAGAGAACCCACAAAATTTCATAATTTTTAGACCATAGAAACTCAAGATAAAATTCAAACAAGTTTGCATGCTTCTAAAAACACATTTCAAACTCCTATTTAATTCATCCAATTTTTCTAAAACATGTGCTCATATACTATTTTTGTTAAATACTAGACAATACTAGGAACTCAACAAAATTAGAACCATGGCATTTGGATCTATATACTAAGAAATACAGATTTTTGAATCATGCACAAAATTCTGTGAAAACAAAATAAACAAATTAATTAAGAAAACCTAACACACGGTGAAATTGGCCTAAGGAACGGCGGCCCACGAGTGCATGCAAAAGGGCCCAAGCCGACGGAATTCGAGCTGGGCTCCCCCTCAACCACGATTTACCGACAGGAGGACCAAGGCGTCAGCCAGACAGGCAGGGAGGAGAAGGGGGACGGCGGCGAAGCTCGTCACGGGAGCTTCTCCGGCGAAGGCAAAGGTGTGTCACGTGCTCGCCTCATCCTAGCGGACCTAGGGGAGCCCTTAGTCGTAGCTATTGACGCCGCTAAGGGGTGTCGATGGCCCACGGCGGCTATTACCTTCGACTGACGCCCGGCTTGGGTAAAGCATCTCGGCCCTTATGGCCGACTCTAAGAGTTTCGAAGGGTTCATGAATCCAGCGCAAAGGGGAGAAAGGGATGGAAGGGGCTCGAGCGGCACGGCCACGCGGCGCTTCGGGCGGCGGTCATGGCGACCGGTGGAGCCGCCGACGCAGTGAGCTTCACTGGGCGAAAATGGAGTGGCCGTGGTGTTGCAGGCGTAAGCGGTTCACGGGGGGTCGTGGCTTGGATGAATCGGTTAATGGAGCTCGGTGATGTTGGATTTGGCTCGGCGGTGTCACGGTGTTCCGGTCGCCGCCGCGCTGGAGGAAGGAGAAAGGAAAAGCAAATGGCGCGGCGAGTGCGATCGGGCAGGCGCGGGGTGGCTTCAAAGGCGCGGCTGACGCCAGACATCCACGGCAAGGCGTGGCTCGCTGACGAAGGTCCCGGCGACGAGTGGCGGACACGCGGCGTCAAGACTTCTGCGTCGGTCGGCCACGGCGGTGAACGTTTTCAAACGTTGCGATTAGGACTCGATTTAACGTGGATGTCGGCGACATTTCAACGCGTCAACACTGCTAATCCGTGGATCGTTTGCAAAAATAGTGTACATGACAATTGTAGGCCTATCATTCCTCTACCATTTCGCTTCAAGGACCATTCCCTAATTCGCCATGGATCAGAAGTTACATCAAGCCAAAGTTGGCTTGATCCAACTGAAATGCACCATGACTTAGAATATTTTTCTAAGTGTTGAAAACAGCATGTATTTCTAACTTGTGGACCATGTTTGACCATGTTCTAGACCTTTTCATGAGTTGACCATAAAACAACTTTTGTTCCTTGATAAATTAGCTACAACTTTTGTAAAGAGTGCACAGCCATGCAAAGCTTCTAAGTTGGACTTTTGAATCAGTCAAACGAGGACACTCCATGGGTCAAATTAAGTCAAACTTGCACTTGAGGGCATTTTGGTCATTTTGGTCTATATGAACAATGTTCCAACAAGTAAACTAAGTATAGTTAAGGTGTATTAGACCATGATCACCCATTTTACAAAGTTGTTATACCACTTCTACTGATCACATGTGATAAAGAAAGTAAAACAAGCAATTCATACATATGTTTTAATACAATGTTTCACATGTTGCATGACCTTGTTGTTATCCTATACTTGTCACATTACTACCATGTTGCCATGCTTCAAGACATGGGAATTTCATGTTTCATTGATATGTTGCACTACTACCATTCACAAGCAATCTAGTACGAAACAAACAGAATATGCGAATGTTTCATATGTATGTTTCAGGGAAAATGACATGATGAGATAAATGATGCACATGTTTATGAGACGAAATGCAATTAGTAGAAGCCAAACACCGAGGGTGTTACAATAAGTGCTACAATACACATACGCTAATGATAAATTAATTAGGCTTAATAAATTCGCACCCTCATGTAACACCCGATGTCACACCCTAAAACTTTCTAAACAAGGCCTCATGGTGCTTAATACGGAAGGATTTAGGGCAATCCATCTCAAGAACTACTTTTGCATTGTAGCATGAGCCGACGAAGCTTAAAAAGCTCTCTTTACTAGCGCACTTGACTCCAATTCATTTTAGAAGGGATCGGAACCGCTAACAAGGAGGGCCATATTACCCCTTTATTCTGAATTGTAGCGCTTGTGTTTCTCCTATGTTAAGCTTGTTTAACTTTGACCAAGTTTTAGATAAATATATTAACATCATAAGTTCAAATAAATACACTATCAACATATATGGCCCCGTTCGGCTTACCCCATATTCGGCTTGTCCGGTTTATTTTTTAGCCGGAACAATGTTTTTCTCTCACAACAATTCAGCCAGAACCGTGTTTTTCAGCCAGTTTCAACCAAAATTCAGCAAGCCGAACGAGCCCTAAAATTTAATGAAAAGAATAATTAGATTAACTATAGAATATATTATTATAATATATCTATTTAAGTGTTAATATATTCCTTTTATAAATCTAATTAAATCTATTTTTATTTAAAACTTAAATCTAATGTTACATTTTTTTACGGACGTAATATCTCGAAATTCTCGTTTATATACAGAAAAACATTCGCTTCCCAAATTGCCAACTAACGCTGACAAGTCGTACAACTCCTTTCCGCAGACAATCCCATGCTATGACCATCGGGAGGCGGAGATCTACCGGGCAGTCAGCGACACGCGCCTCCCGTGAAGTCACCCGCCTTTTGCACCGCTGCTAACGGGACCCAGCAGTACGAGGGCCCACTTGTCATTGTGCCATACTTTCTGTACCAGCACATCGCCGCAGGTCGGTCCCGCACCGCACCTCTTCCCTCGCCCCCGCCACGTCACCGCCGAAATAATTAATTTCAGTCCCTTTACGACCTCGTTTCCCAAGCGTCCTTCCGTTCGCTATCTCCTCTTCTTCCTCCCTCCTCCCCTCCCCTCTCCCCCTCTCTCTTCTCTCTCTCTCGCCGTCCACGCGCGACTACGCGAGACACTGGTCAACGCCCGGGTGGCAGGCGGCTCCGGTGGGGGTGTGAGTCTAGCTCCGTCGGTTGCGCCGGAAGAACGCGGCGGGCTGCTGCCTTCGGCCCTCGGGTTCCCATCATGGGGAGGAACGGTAGCGTGAAGCGCGGGGCGTCTTCGGCCGCCGCGGGTGCTGCCGCGGGGCCGCCGTCCTTCTCTGTGAATCCCGCCGACTACCGGTTGATGGAGGAGGTGGGGTACGGTGCGCACGCCGTCGTGTACCGCGCGATCTTCCTGCCGACCAAGGGTGTTGTGGCGGTCAAGTGCCTGGATCTCGATCAGCTCAATAACAACATCGTGAGCTCCTGTGACACCTTCTCCCTCATGTAATTCGCTGGGTTTTCCTCGGTGCTCTGGCTGCGGGTGCCATCTGCTGTTTGATCTAGCGAGAGATCCGTTGGTCGATTGCAGTGGGTTTTACTCTTGATTTGGTGGCTTGGAAATCGGGGCTGAATTTTGATCCGTGTAACGCACTACCAGATCAATTCGGACTGTGCTTTGGCATCAAGTAGATACGACATCGCATTTACTTGGTCTGCTACTAGTCGTTGCTTAGTCTAAGGCTCAGTTGAAAAGACCAACCGAGGCATGTACCTGCATTTTAGTTTTTTTTGGGGCAGTTATTATTTTGCATGGTATATTGTGGGCGTGGGCGCTTGAGATGGAGAGTTCAAATATTTTCTCTTTCAACTAAAAACTGCTGAAGAGTTCTATGCCAGTTTAGCAGTCCTATAGATAGACCACAGAGAACTTGCATTTTTTTAAAAAAATTATTATAAATAATCATTATCTCTTTGCAGAGGTGATTCGCCGTTTGTTCTTTTATCATTCTACTAGATTGTTTCTTTAATTTCTGGTATTTTATATTGCACATGGCATCATTTTCTGCACTGCACAAATTTAAGATTGTATATTTGGACAGTGATTCTATTATCTTTTGACCGTGTACATTTTATTGATACGATGAGCTGTTGATGATAAGGATGAGCTGTTGATGATAAGCTAGCATGATATTAGGCATATATTGTTCTACTTGATATCTCAGATCAGTGCTCATTGTTGAGGCTGTGTCCCTACTCCCTAAGTACTAGTTTGATGCTTGTTTAAGCACAGACTTTCTAGTTTTGTTCCATCCAAGCTTTCATATTTTGGGTTGGTAGCAGATCGCATTGGTTCAACTCATCCTAAGACCCTGTTCGGCTTACCTTAAATCTGGCTTGTTCGGCTTCTTTTTTCAGCCGGAACAGTGTTTTTCTCTCCCAACATTTCAGCCAGAACAGTGTTTTTCAACCACTTTCAACCAAGTTTCAGCAAGCCGAGAGTACTGTACATTTGGGGCACAATAGACGTCTAGTAACATAATTTCAAAATCCAAAACTTGTAAAATGTCTGTCTAAAAGCACCTTTTTATGCTATCGCCTTCTATTTTTAGCTATTAGTTCACTGGAATATTAGATGGACTTGTTCCTTTTACTAATACTGACTGTGCTTTCTTCTCAACACTCCATTCACTGGTGAGCTGGCAGGCAATTGCTCCTTTGCCAATGGAAGCCAGTCACTTTATGGTCACACGCAGATCATTATCTGCCAATAATGCGTCACAATTCTCCTTGTTATCCACCTTTTGTGGCTGTTGCTATTCTTATTCATCTCTAGCAACTTGCGGTAGTTCATTTTTTGGCATTTTTGCATTTGTTTTTGAAACTTCCGCTGTGGTATGTGGTAATGTAATCGTAACATAGCTTTGAAGTGGCATCCTCCTCGCCCTCTAATCCACTGTAAAGCAGAAACACTATCAAGGTTTTGGAATGCCAAAGTTGTGCAAACTTTTCTAAGGCTGAATGAGTGGCATGTCTTCACTGCTTGGTGTCAATTGACACTTTATTTTTCCTTATGAAAGGCATAAATGAATTTTGTTCTTACCACTGTTACATTATTTGTAGGATGAAATACAAAGGGAGGCCCAAATAATGAGCTTGATAGATCATCCTAATGTCATCAGGGCTTACTGCTCTTTTGTTGTGGAGCACAGCCTTTGGGTGATAATGCCGTTCATGACAGAGGGTTCTTGTTTACACTTAATGAAGATCTCATACCAGGAAGGTTTTGATGAGCCGGTCATTGGCTCCATTTTAAAGGAAACTCTTAAGGCTTTGGATTACCTTCACCGGCAGGGTCAAATACATCGTGATGTCAAGGTTAGCATTAGTAGAATATTTTTTGGGTAGAAAGTGTAGTCATTTGATGTATTTGTTAGTCATTGTTGTTTATTTTTGCTCAATTCGGCACTGTACAGGCTGGTAATATCCTTATCGATGGTGCTGGGGTAGTGAAGCTTGGAGACTTTGGTGTTTCTGCTTGTATGTTTGATAGAGGTGATAGGCAAAGATCTAGGAATACATTTGTAGGAACACCATGCTGGTAACTTCTTAACCAAATTTCTATAAATATATTTGTATAACTAGATCATATTTTTACATGTTTTTCTTTTTCGAATTTTCTATGTAGGATGGCTCCAGAAGTGCTCCAACCTGGCGCTGGATATAATTTCAAGTATGTTAGCTGTGTATATATCTGTAATTTATTTCCACGTAAGACATGCCAGGATTTATCCTAGGAATTGACATTAATGCCTAAAGATTACCTTTCTCCGTGAATTGCTTTATATATGGCCTTCCTCTTGCATCTAAACAGATCTAGTGTTACCTTTTTTCATGGCTGTTTGTTTGGCCTTTTGTATGTCAATCGGTAGACAGTATTAATTCACACCCATTCTCATTTTTGCACAGAGCTGACATATGGTCATTTGGAATCACTGCTCTTGAACTAGCACATGGCCATGCTCCATTTTCGAAATACCCCCCTATGAAGGTAATGCTTTGGCCTGCGCATTTGGTTCTGATTTTTTATTGTTGTGCTAATAGCTGTTGTAATAAATATTCCAAATACCCCGCGACATGTAGCAAATTGCAGTAAGTCTTCAATTATTACCACTTACATGTTAACCCTGTATGACCCAGCCCATAATCTAACTGGTGGTAGATGGTCTCATGGGATCATCTAGTTACTCCCTACCTAACAACACAGGCAACCCTATATATTAAACTTGTACTTTGGTTGTAGGTTCTTCTCATGACTCTCCAGAATGCACCACCTGGTCTTGATTATGAACGTGACAGAAGATTCTCAAAGGTAGTACCTGTCCTTTCAGTTGATTATCTGTTATGAACCATTTATGTGGTTAGCCACAGTAGGTTGTGTTCTAGTGTTTACCTATCTAAGTAGGCATTTTCAGTTGTGACCAGTCATTTAAAGAGATGGTTGCAATGTGCTTGGTCAAAGATCAAACAAAGAGACCAACAGCTGAAAAGTTGCTAAAGCATTCATTTTTCAAAAATGCAAAGCCTCCAGAGTTGACTATTAAGAGTATCTTATCTGGTTTACCTCCTCTCTGGGACCGTGTAAAGGCTCTCCAGGTATGCTGCCTTATTTAATGTTATCATGAAATACCCCTCCCTGATCATGGAAAATGTAGCTGAATTTTCCGTGTACCTCCAGCTTAAAGATGCAGCACAATTGGCTTTGAAGAAAATGCCTTCTTCTGAACAGGAGGCCCTCTCCCTGGTTTGTGACATACCCTTCCTCATTTTTATATTCTGTTTGGTACTCTTCTTAATGTTCCTAGTTCCTTTTCTATTTTTAATCATCATCATTACAGTACTGCTCTGGCTACATTAGAGTTACGAGTTGAAAGTTCACCTTTGTTTAGTGTGCATGTGTTCCTTTGGTAAACAGGATTCATCAGTTCTGCATTGTTAACATACCATGTGAAGTCAGATCTTGCATGAAGTTAATTGTATACATGGCACCTTTCGACTGTGATAGTTTTGGTTGAACATGTATTATGATTAATTGGTAATGTTTATGAAAAGTTATTAACTGTATGATAGACAGCAATAGTCCAACAATTTCAGTACCATATAACAAAATATTTGCTGATATACAACCTGTCTATGATATACTTCCAAATAATTTGTTAACAAGTTGACTGTTAAGCGTTGAAAAGGCTAACAACATAAGAATAATACATGTATGTCATGTCTAAATGGTAGGCATTCACTGTGCTAGGAACATTGGGGTATGGATACATCTCAGAAACCTTTTGAAGTTCCTTTTCTCATGTATTGTTCACTTATCTGGTTCAGTCTCCATACAAATGTGTAATGCTGAGTATTTGCCCCTACATGGTACATGCTATTCTGTAAATAGTCACGTGTCACATATATTAGCAGCATTCCTTTTGTTGTAGAATTTGGGTAAATGCCATGGCTATTTTAATAGCCTTCTTATCATAAAACTGCATGGATTCATACAGAGTGAATATCAACGCGGTGTTAGTGCATGGAACTTCGATATCGAGGATCTCAAGGCTCAAGCATCATTGGTAATACTTCTACACTGGTTCCCTTTTCCAATATAGACCTCATTTTCATTCGACCTTCCATCCACTCACAATTATCATTAAACTGGCTAAATTTACAGATTCATGATGACGAGCCACCGGAAATAAAAGAAGACGAGGACATTGCAAGAAACATTGAGGTTGAAAAGGTCTAGTAGATTTTTTTTTTCTATGGAAGTTATTTGATTATTATCTTTAGAAAGCTTGATTATTATCTTTAGAAAGCTTGAACATTATTTCCAAAAGAAATATTTACAAAATATGTTGCAGAGTTGGCATGTGCTCATCTTTGCAATAGAACTCTTGAGTTTCTTAATGTTGATTACTTACCTTGTTTCAAAGTCGTAATTTTGTTATGTTGAAGCAAAATGCAATTGAATATCTGTATATAACTGTCACTTTTTGGTCCTTCAACAGGATTTATCTTCACGGAACCATTTGGGAAAGTCATCTGCAAATGAATGCAACTCCAGGTAAAGCCAAATAATTTTTAGCATCTTCTAGTGACTGACATTTTAATAGCTCTAGAAGTTCAGCTTCTATCCTGTGGATTTAAGTAGGATGCTATCGATATGGAATGATCAGTATTCTTGACAGTTGATATTATATTGTTTTAAACTATAGTATTTGTGGTGAAATGTATTGTTTTGATATATTTCAGGCAGCGAGCCTTTGCCAGCACTTTAAATTCGGATGGAAACAGCCCCCCCACAAACGAAGCTTTTGATTTTGATTTTGATTTTAGCGATGCTGACACTACAAGAAGGGCTGATGGATATGAAAGCAACATAAGAGAGAATGATTCATTGCCCTCTACATCAAAGCGAGATCCAGAGTCGAATCATTGGACAAATGACGTTGGGCAGAGACAACTGACTACTGGTGGGAGCAATAGCTCAGCAGCTGAAAGGGGCTATGGTTTTGAGAGGTGTGTACTATCTATTCAAGTTTTTTGTTTTTATAAGAGTGTTTTAGGTTTCTATTTTTGTTCTGTAACGTATGATCTGCAGTGACTGAATGGAGTGACTTTTAAATGAAAATGCTTCACGAGTTTATTTTATTCTGATTTGTCATTATTGTTCTATTATAATGTATGTTTTTAGGTAAATTCTAGTATATTTTGTAAATTTAGCCTATAATTTTATGAATATGCATCAGATAAAGTGGAGAATCTCAGTTAATTTGTTTACATTCTCACTAATTATTGCTGCCAGAATTTCCTGAATTAACTGTTTATCTTGGTGTAGCAGTTCCTTTTTATTAAATCTTGTTTATCTTGGTGTAGCAGTTCCTTTTTTATTAAATCTTGTTATGGTAGTAAAGTGCTTATTTGTAGACCAGGCATATGCTTCTTAATGTATATAATGGTTATTATTGCATTTTTATTTCCAAAGAAACTTTGGGCATGGTTAATGGACTGTCATTATTTAGTTATGCTGAGTGCTTATTACTGTTTGGTGTATGACAGGGATGCAGCTGTGCAAATGATATCTGACAAACAAAGAAGTGAGAAGAGAAAAACAGCAAGCCTTAGTGGTCCACTTTCACTGCCAACTCGTGCTTCTGCAAATAGTTTGTCAGCTCCTATTCGATCTTCAGGAGGTATGAGTGTCCACCTACTTATCACTGCAAATTTTCATTGGTTTAACTACTAGTGTACATAGAAAATATGCGCTGGCAGTCTGGCACTGCTGTAGGTTTTCTATATTTATGTCTTGTCCAGCCCATTAGAGCGACGCAATGGTGCAGCCCCAGGCCATGCTAGGGCAGGCACAATATTCATGTGTGGTACTGCATGGTACAGTTCATGGCAACCCTAGGATATGCTTTGTTGGTTAGAAACAAGATAAATTTGAATTGTTTCCTTAATTCTATATATTAATTCTTAAGAGTCTAGTTTCCCCTTTATGTATGAGGACAGGATTGTTTCTTTTTTAATTAAGCGATAAATAGATTTAGAGTTCCTACCTCCGTGCCCATGTGGTCACCTGCTTTGGTACTAAATTATGCCCATGGCAATATATCTGCTGTTTGTATTTGTTGTGCCGTTTAGACATTAACCTTCTTTTGCTCATTCTAGGTTATGTAGATTCATCAGGTGACAAGTCCAAGCGAAGTGTAGTAGAGATTAAAGGCCGCTTTTCAGTAACATCTGAGAATGTTGATCTTGCAAAGGTAAGTGAACTGGGTGGATATACAATTGAACTTAACATTACTCTTTTCTTAAATTGAGTAGAAAATTTTCAGGAGTCAATTTTATAAATCTTTACTTTGCAGGTTCAGGAAGGTCCACTTAGTAGTCTCTCCCGGAAATCACCAGAGGTGAGGTTGCTGCCATTTAGATGATGGTTATCGCAGTCATGAATTCGTGGTTAACTCTTGGTTTTCTCAGGGTTCACTGCTAAGAAAATCTGCCAGCACTGGTGATTGTTTGGTTAATCCTAAGCTGATGGTATAACCCTTTCTTTTCCATGATTGTGTTTGTTCTAATTTCCCCAGAAAATTGCAATAAATTTTTTTTTTTGTGGAGAAAAGAAAATTGCATACATCCATTGCCGCATTTGAGTTTTTGAGATGGGAAACGAGCCCTAAAAATATCAAATTGAAGACATTAAATCTCAGACCTACTAATTATTGCCCTTCTACCACTTTAGATCAATTTGCGAATTGATTATTGCTCATTAGTACCTCATATTAATTGATGGATACTTGAAGGGCATTTGCTGGTTCTCAGACATCTGATGGGAAACTTCTCATCAGAAGCTCCAACCTGTTCGTCGCAACATGGATTGACAATTACTGCAATATCCGAAAATATATTCTGCGGCATTTGAAAACTGCAATGAAAATACACAAAAAGAAGCAATACCCTATAAAGAATTAAACTGATTAATATCACCTGCTGTCTAAAGTGGGCTAAAAATCATGAGTTTGGGACCTAGCATGTTTCAGAAGAAGTAACAAAGGCTAAGATGAATCATCTTTCCACGTTAGAACACAAACATTTGGCAGTAGCAGTTGCAATGTAACAAAACCAAAGTTGCAACATATAAAACACAAAAAAAAAAGATTCTGTTGCAACATAAGAACACATCACACACAAAAAATGGATCTATTGTCGTCAATGATGATTTGGAAACTTCGTAGACAAAATATTGATGTTGCAACTGTTGTTCAAAATTGTCACTGAGTCTGAAAGTTGCAAAAAAAAAAAAAATCTACCACAACATCCGAAAGATACAATCGTCACAAAAAATCATCAAATTGTGTAAAAAAAAACTATCATATAGCGTCTTCCTCACCATACCAGGAATGATCCTCCATTGATACCTCACAGGCACAGCTGATGGGCGCTGTTACACGCTGGTCAAGCTCATGCTGGAACAGATTGCTCCGTTCACCATATATGATGTTCAGCAGTGGCTGGGATAGGGAGGCACTTGCATCACCATTTTCATGGTGGGGGCGGAGGGAACTGGGAGTAATCAATGAAGAGCGTGGGGGATGTTGAAGGAGGCTGATAGCAGCCAAGGCGAGGCTGAAAGGCATGGTCAGATGAGACCAGAAATGGATCGATCTTTGCCTTGGCGCAGGTAGAGAGAGAGGGAGATTGAGGGAGGGAGAACATGCTACTGCAGCAGGTATTGGACCAATTTGTTGTACAAAAGATGGTTGACTGGCGTGCGAGTGCTGCAGGAGAAAACGAAGGGGAATAGTGTGTCATCCAGATGGACCTGACCAAAGAAATAGAATGAAATCAAAGAAAAGCCATAGAAAAAAAAAAAAAAATATGACATCACAGCTGTTCACTTCACCGTTTCATCGTAGCTGACACAGTTAATGAGGAACCTGACACAGTGAAATAGATAAGGATGGAGACACCGATTTTTTTGAAGCCAGTGTGGGCGTGGAAAGCGTCTGTTATTTTATTGGCATAGGATGCTCAGGTTGCAGCATTTCCGATACTTAATAGCTCTATCATTGTTGTCACTTCAGTCTACGTTAACTATGTTTTATTGCTTTCATCGGAAACTGTTTGTTCCTTATAGTTATGTTTTATAAGCCAATAAATTATTTACTAACCGTTTAGATGCATGAGATCTGTGGTTTTTTTTCGTGGGATATTTGTGAATACAGCATGTTGACCATACATTAAATAAGAGTCTGCATATTTTCTATGAATTTTGTCGAACTCGATATGACATTATCAATTTTTACAACAAAATTTTGATATTGCAGTGTAACACTAATCAGCTGAAGGAACTCTGCAATAGTTCAGTATCATCTTCAGTATTAATTCCCCACCTTAACAACCTTGTGCAACAGACCATGTTTCAGCAGGTCTGGAGGGATCTTTTGATGTCATCCTTCATTTCTGTTTTAAGAATTAAATCATTTGATAAAAAAATTGATTAACAATTGTCTCTCTTTACTTTAGGATCTAATCATGAACCTACTTAGTAACTTGCAACAGAATGAGAAAGTTGACGGTGAGTGTTTTTTCCTTTGTTGAAGTTGGAGTTGTTTGTTTCATTGCCTGTTAGATAAAACTCTCTTTCCTTCAGGAACACAGCCTGGAATATCTTCTCAAGTTCGAACGATGGAGAATGATAAAGTGGTACGCATCAACCTAGCTTATGATTTCAAGTGTTGACGAATGAGTTTCCAGTCATCAGTCAGTGATTCCTTCAATCAATATTTTGTTCACTGTCAATTAAAAGGTGTTTTCTGTACAGGCTGATACAGCTAACTCTGAGAAGGAACGGTCATTACTTGTTAATATTTCAGAATTACAGTCTAGGTATGCCCACTTATGCACAAGTGATGTTACATAAAATTCCAATGGTAAATATCGCAGGAACAGTTATGGCAACTTTACAACCCCATATCACATTTAATTTGTTGTTATGGCACCACTTCTATTTTGTTTTGGCAACCGCAGTTGAGTAGCTGATCTTAGGAACATAATTTCACTATCAAATTGAATCAATTCTTTTAGTATGTTATTTTGAACATGCATATTGTTTGCAAAGACCACTTGTATTTATTGCTAGAATCGCCAAAAGTTATTTACCTCTTTTCTTCCTTTGCAGGATGATAACACTGACTGATGAACTAATTGCAGCTAAGCTAAAACATGTTCAGGTCAGTACCATTGTCTCATTTTACTAAATTTTTTTATATCAATCATTACCGAAAAAAAATTGGTGACATGGTGGCATTTGGATTCTGATTCTTGTTTCCCTATGGTATTTTCAGTTGCAGCAAGAGCTAAATGCATTGTACTGCCGAGAAGAAATTGAGGATTTTAGGGATGAGGATAACGAACAAACATAATTGAGGATCCATGCCGTATAAATTACCTGCCTCTCCCTGAGACGTATGAATTACCTGCCTCTCGCTGAGGTTACGGGAGAACAAGAGAAGGAAAACGGGAGAACAAGAGAAGGAAAGTTGTGGTGCCGCAAATATTTGATGGATCTAGAGACTAGCTGTGGTTCTATGGAATTTGTTCTTTGAAGGTTGTGACCCTGGCCTGCTGCCCTCAGTGTGTATAACCGTCTTTCTTTTAGTTACCTTTTTTTTTCATTAGTTCGAGGTGTTTTTTGGTGACCACAAGATTGAGGCGTGGTCATGCTGCTATTTCGGCCATACCTATCATTGGAGGTAGCTGTGATTATGTAGTCCGTAGGCTACCGGGTGGATATGTATGCAGAACTGCAGAAGACTGCATAATAAATTGTATTTTATCCAGCAATAGGATGTATATTAAATATTGGCGCATTCGATGATATTGTATGATATAGGGCTAATTCGCAAGCATCCAAACAGAGTTGTTTGCATATATCAAATAAAGTATGCGTTTACTCAATTTGTCACTGTCACCGTGTTACTCAATTTGCAAACATCCAGCCTGTTCGGTAGGCTATAAACGATCGTGGATTATTTACTGCTGGCTGGTTTGGTGTAAGAAAAAAATACTATTTCAGTTTATAATCCACAATGTATACGAGCACATGGACATGCTGTAGATTGTTTTACTGGCATCACAACCTGTTACATGCTCAGGGTAAATCTCGTCTATAATTGATCTACAGTATTTGTTGTAACATTGGAAATCGAGCACATGAAGTGATTTTTCTGTTTTTATTTCTTTCTTTTCTTTTCCTCCTTTTTACTCAAGCTCGAAAGGATGATATGGCCACTCATTGGGGTGGCAATCGCCGGTTGCTCTAACTAACGGAATTAGATCTCCGGCCATTATTTTCAGACATGAGACTGCTTAGGTAAAGAAGATTATGTTCTGAAGGTTCTAGGTGTGAGCTAGGATACCGAGGATAACAGTCATATCAAGAGTATTAAGCTGTAGCATCCGATTTTAAGAACAACCATATACACACTATACGTGGCACTATATCGAAAGACAATACTCAATATATAACATACTTAGTATAAAGGATATAACTTTAGACAGTAAACAGCGGAAAGACAACTCTAATATTCGGGTGAAGACTCCAATTCCACAGGGATAACTGACTGGTTGATCACAAGCCTAATTCCTCCAAACTCTAGCAATCTGGTAACTATCCGGATTTTTCCAAAGATTTAAAAAGTAAAGCAAGCGTAAGTACATATCGTACTCAGTGAAAGGATCAAGATGTCCAAGAGAGGATGAATTGGGCTAATTCTAAAATTCTATGCAATAATTAAACCCTATACTTAGCCCACTTCACCACTTGAGCCTAGAAAGTGATTCTATTGATCTACCGTACAAAAGTTTAGCGCCCTAAGTTTCAATCCTACTCTAGCATGGCAATTCTAAGAATGTAAAGACAAGAATTGAATTACTCAAATGTAAATACTTAAAGTAAAGAGAGGAGAAGGAACGCGGCGATATTTTGCCGACGTATCGGAGAGTCGCCACTCCCCACTAGTCCTCGTTGGAGCACCCACGCAAGGGCGTAGCTCCCCCTTGATCCGCGCAAGGATCAAGTGCTCTCTACGGGTTGATTCTTCGACACTCCATCACGGTGAATCACCCACAACCGCTCATAACTTGAGTTGGGTCATCCACAAGCTCCGCTGGATGATCACCACACTCTCAATCACCACCAAGCCATCTAGGTGATGGCGATCACCAAGAGTAATAAGCGCGAACTCTCACTTGACCACAACAAGCCTAATGAGAAGGGTGGATGCACACTTGCTACTCTCCTTACACTAATGAGGCCTTAATCTTGAATTCTCAAATCTCAATCACCTCATTAGGCTCTTGCTCTCTAAAACACTCTCAAGGGTGTTTCTCAGCTGATCAAATGGGCAAGAGACCTCCCTTGGATGAATAGAGAAAGTATTTATATCTCCTCATTGAAAACGAACTGTTAGGAGGTTGCATCAGCGTTCTGCGGGGTGACCGGACGCTCCGATCAAGGTGACTGGACGCTCCGGTCAGTTATCCCCGCCATAGAGCCGTTAAGTTGTGACCGGACTCTGACATGTGTCTGGTCACAAAAACTGCTCTCTAAAACCTTACTGATGTTGACCGGACGCTGGCACCCAGAGTCCGGTCACATTGCTATTCAGCGTCCGGTCAGCACTGACCGGACGCGTCCGATCAGGATTCTCCCTCTCTGGAACCTTACTAGAGTTGATCGGACTCTTGCACCCAATGTCCGGTCACATCAGTGTCCGGTCGCAGCCAGACGACTTCTCCTTGATCAAATGAACTGACCGGACTCTACAGCCAGCGTCCGGTCACAACCGGATCAGTGTCCGGTCAACATTTGACCCTCCATTCACTTCCAACTCGAAATCATATGTGAATGAAGTTTGCTCCAATTGATCTTAGGGCTACTTCAGAACTACCGAGTGCTAGATTTGATAAGTGTGCACCACACCTAACCCACTAGACTCACCTAGGTCAAGCTACTAGTCCATACCCCTCTTAATAGTACAACCAAAGGAAAAACAAAGTCCTAAACTACTCTAAGTGTCTCTTCAACATCAAATGACACTTAGAACTAGTCCATCCTTAACCTTGTCGTCCATCCTTTGAAAACCGAAACGATTTCCATCGTAGGGGCATGACAACCATGATTGCCCAATCAATTTCCATTACCATGACCTAACTTAATTGCCTCTGCAAAACACACGTTAGTCATAGTAATCTCGTATTGTCATTAATCACCGAAACCCAACTAGGGGCCTAGATGGTTTCAATCTTCCTCTTTTTGGTGATTGATGACAATACAACCTCGAATATGTAAAAGAGATGAGGTTTTCAACATGCTTGGTTCATATAAGCTTTTGACAATATGTACACAAGAGTTAGGCATGCTTATATGACCCAAGCTAACATGATGTACTCAATAGATATGAAATAAGCATGAGTACTAGAAATAAAGCTCATTTGAATCGGAGTAAAACGCAGAAGCAAACCAAATGAGCATAATGAAGTGACATGACATATATAAAGATCAAAGTAGAGAGCACACATGTCACATATCACATAAGTATCACACATATCACATAAATATCACGATCACACGTATGTAGTTCAATGCATGAAAGTAAACATAAATGCATAGTAATGTATCACGCATAACAAGCCAAATGTAATAAATAAGCTCCCCCTAGATCTAATCATACTCGATCCCTCTCCCCCTTTGGCGTCAAGCACCAAAACCTAAGGGTCGGTCGGTGGGGCTGGAGCAGACTAGTCGGGCGCTGAGGTGCGGTGAGCGATCTGAAACTATGTGGCATCATCCTCTGATCCAGAGCTCTGAGCTGTCTGACCCTCTGTCACTAGAAGTGATGCTGAAGCGGTCTGGGTCTGCTGTGGGATTGGTGCGGCCTATGACTCTACATGTACCACTATAGCAGTTGGCTCTGATGATGCAACAGATGAAGGGAGCGTCTCTGTAGTCCCAGTGACTGGAGCGACTATAGTAGGAGCAGAGACACGAAGCTCTGGCGGTGTAGGCTACCCTGTCAACTCACTGAATGTAGCACCAAGGCTCCTAGAACTAGGGTGTCAATCACAAGCACTGAGGAGCTCTGAGCCGGTGTGAAGCCCGTAACAATAGGTGTGAAGGAAGGACCCTGGGCTAGCACTAGCGAAGCAAACCACTGGGACACTTGCTCTATCGGTGAAGCAAACTATGTAGCTGGCTATCCCTGACTCTAAAGCCCACTAGGCTATAAAGTAGGAGTCACTAAAGTGGTGGCAGGCTGGCCAAACTGAGGTGTAGACGGTGGCGGTGCAACTCCAGTAGCAGTGACAACATGCTGCATAAATCCAAGTAACTGCTGCTGGATCAGGAGCTTCTGCTGCTGCATGGCCTGCTACTGCTGCTGTATAGCCTGCTACTGTCGCTGGAACTCATCCTGTTTGGCCTGAACCTGAGCTAGGGCTGCTGTAGTCTCCTGGGCCTAGCATGCCTAATCCTGCCTCATCCGCTCAAGAATATCAAGTAGAGCGGGGTCTGTCTGTGGTGGCTGTGGTGGAGCTGAGCTGGAGCCACCGACCTCACTGTCATGTCATCGAGGAGGCATCTGAGGGATAGCCTAGTAGTCATAATCTGAACTATCATTGGGGTCGCTCTTGACCATACCCTCCTACTGAGCATCTAGCTGCTCCTCCTCTATTGCTGCAACGCCCCTGATGATCTCATCTTGTTGGGCTGCAGTCTCTAGCACCTCTGGGCGACGGCGCGGCTGACTAGGCATCCTCGCACTGCTATGACGGAGCATTTGGGTCATGCTGTATGGAGGAAACTCAGTAGTAGCACCAGTATACTCTGCCATAGTCTCTAGGGACTTCACTGTAACTGCCTTGCGAATCAAGAATGTGATCTAGTGAGCATAAGGCAACTATCTATGACCTCTGAACCCCTCTACAAGAGTGTCCTCCATCTCTGATAGAATAACATCCTAGATATCAAAAACTGTCTGCTGGATCAGAGAGTTCACCAACCATAACTGAATGCGAGTTAATCCCTCGTGATAGCCCATCCTCGAAAGCAAGGTCCTTCTCATGATAGCATCAAGCAGCCTAGCTGTAGGAGTAAGATCTCTAGGTGTCCTGCTCGACCCCTCGCCAAAAGGCTCTATGAAATAGGGTCTGACCAAGTCTGTGGGTGGCACAAGACCACCGTGAGGGCGTCTGGGAGGCTCTGTCTAACCATAGCAAACCTCATGCAGGTGAATGGGTGCCTCTAGAATCCTGAGAATCTCTCTAACCCTATAGCTCATCAGCCTATAGTCACGGCCTCTGAATGTAAAGTGAATGAATCTGTGGCCCGGGTCAATCCAAAGTGAAGCGTAGAACTCATGGA